ACAAGCTTTTTAACTAAAATATGCGTCAATGTTGGTTTGTCGCAATAAGCTTGTTTTTTTGACTCTAACAAATTTTTTGACTTTTCCTACTAACTTTATATATTCCTCCGCGTTGTCCTGTTGAAGAAGAAATGTATGTACGGTTTTCAAGCTAGCAATTGCAGAGCTAGCACTAATAACAGGACTTTCATGACTATTATCTATTTCTTCTAAATCTATGCTTTCGTCATCAGTATTTCTGAAGAGATATATGAGTTCTTCAATAATTTGGCTATCTTCAGGAACTTCATAAACAACATTCTCTTCAAGAATGTTAAGAAATTCTTCTACTTGCATTGAATTTGGAAGATTGAGAGCTTGAAGTGCATCCGCAAGATCATTAAGAACTGAATTTTCAGGTTAGTGTATATTTTCTGAAGCATTCTGCAAATCAACAGGAAGAATCTTTGTGTGACACCAGCAATTACGAATGGTATCAACATTAACTTCATTCCAGGCTTGAATAACAAAATGGATGGCTTGCAAGATATTTATGTGTAAGTTTTCTACACATTCACCTGCCTCTACATGTTGTAGCATCAAGCTTTTAAAGTAAAAGCAGTTAGATTTGAAAACTTATAATGTATATCAAATTTAATACAGATATCTTACTGTATATGAAAATAACGATAATGTCTCTTAAAGGTCATAATTATTCCAGCATCCAATGGTTGAATTTTTGATGTAGTGTTTGGAGGCAAAAAATAAACATCAGTATATTGTAAGGTAAGACTTGTTAATTTGTGACTGGAACAGTTGTCAAGAAGAAGTAATACACGCTGGTCTTGATACTTTAGACCAACTTAATGATCGAATTTCTGAATCCATTCTTGAAAAAGTGATGTGATCATCCAAGCTTTGGCATTATTACAGTATGTCATAGGCATATTATGAATCTTTATATTTTTAAAACAGTGTGGTTTTTGATATTTTCCAATTATAAGAGGGTCTAATTTGTGAGAGCCATCAGCATTCACACATAATGCGATTGAAAGATGTTCTTTGTTCACTTTACGACCAGCGAGACGTTTGGTAGCTAGAGTTCGATCAGGTTCTAGTTTATAAAATAAAATATAGAGGTTAACAATTAAATTTTCTTTTTTATAGAATCAAACTGGCAAGGCTATATTACTTAAAATTTACCTGTAAAAAAGTCCAGTTTTATCCATATTGTAAATTCTTTCAAGTGGATAATTGGAGCAATGTTCTCTTAACAAGAGTAAAGTATTAACAATTGCAGTTTCATCTGCTGATGTATCCTCTCCTTCAAGTTTTTGTTGGCGAATGCCATTGCAGTTTTTAAACTTTTGAAGTCATCCAGAGAAAAATCGTAATGCATCTTGAGGAACTTCTAATCCATTGGCAAGCATTTTGGCCTTTCGATAAGTATTGCATTACTTAATACTGTTTGATGTTGGTAGTTTAAAACAAATTCCTTAAGAGCAAGCTCAAGTTCTGGATAGGAAACTGATTTGTGCTGTTTTGTATCTGGTTTAATCGATTCTGAACTAAGTAATTCATCTCCCATTTTTAGAATATGAGAAATGGTGCTTTCGTTAACTCTAAGTTCTCACTGTTTTTTAATCCAACTGACATATTGAGCCCGAGTCTCTTTATTTTCATGAGCATAAGTGCAAAGAGCTCGCTTTTGCATTTCAGTGAGAGTAGTTCTTTTGAGAGACATTTTTACAAGACACAATTGATCTTGATTACGCGACAAATACAGGGTATAAATTTATGTACTACATACACAATGAATTTCTCAGACTAATACTAATTTGATTAGTTCTTGATGTTACGATAGATCAAACAATACATGCTATTATATTTGTAATAGTTGTATTTTTATCAAGTATCGTAAAGATACTTGTAGGCAGTAACCTCTGATTGGTCATTATTATAAGATCATTACGTGCATGCATTTATAGAGAGTATTTTAATATATATGGGACTTAGAATCACTTGCACGTGCAGAATATAGAGAGTGTGCACTTAGCTCTAAGTCCTGAGCTTGGGACCAGGCCATAGTATGCATATAGAGAGGGTGTGCACTTATAGAGGGTGCACTTATGGAGATGTTATTGTAATCCTTTGATAGTTCTTGGTTGAGGAAAGTCTTTTATCTTTTGAATAGTGAAAGGGTCAGGGGTAGGATTCTGAAAAAAAGTCTGGCTCAGTTCGAGTCTGGTTCGGTTCGAGCTTGAACCGGACTTGAACCTGACAAAAAGTCTGATTCGAAAATTCGAATCTAATTAAAAGTCCGGTTCGAGTTCAGTTCAAATTTCGAACCTGACTCGAACCTGACCAAAAGTTCAGTTCGAGTTCAAGTAAATGTTTGTTGATGTTCAAGTAAAGTTGTAGATCGTAACATGAGCTACAAATTGATATAAGATAATTAATATTTAGGATAAATATTTAAGAAGTTATATGGATTTAAAAAAT